TGGACAGATGCACTTTTAACATGGATAGATGCACTTTTAACATGTATAGATGCACTTTTATGATGATAGATGCACTTTTATCATGGATAGATGCACTTTTATCATGGATATATGCACTTTTATGATGGATAGATGCACTTTTATCATGGATATATGCACTTTTATGATGGATAGATGCACTTTTATCATGGATAGATGCACTTTTATCATGGATAGATGCACTTTTATCATGTATAGATGCACTTTTATGATGGACAGATGCACTTTTATCATGGATATATGCACTTTTATGATGGATAGATGCACTTTTATCATGGATAGATGCACTTTTATCATGGATAGATGCACTTTTATCATGTATAGATGCACTTTTATCATGTATAGATGAACTTATCATGTATAGATGAACTTATCATGTATAGATGCACTTTTATCATGTATAGATGCACTTTTATGATGGACAGATGCACTTTTATCATGTATAGATGCACTTTTATCATGTATAGATGCACTTTTATCATGGATAGATGCACTTTTATCATGGATATATGCACTTTTATGATGGATAGATGCACTTTTATCATGGATAGATGCACTTTTAACATGGATAGATGCACTTTTATCATGGATAGATGCACTTTTATGATGGACAGATGCACTTTTATGATGGACAGATGCACTTTTATCATGGATAGATGCACTTTTATCATGGACAGATGCACTTTTATGATGGATAGATGCACTTTTATGATGGATAGATGCACTTTTATGATGGACAGATGCACTTTTATCATGGATAGATGCACTTTTAACATGTATAGATGCACTTTTATCATGGAAAGATGCACTTTTATCATGGAAAGTTGCACTTTTATCATGGATAGATGCACTTTTATGATGGACAGATGCACTTTTATGATGTATAGATGCACTTTTATCATGGAAAGATGCACTTTTACCATGGATAGATGCACTTTTATCATGTATAGATGCACTTTTAACATGGATGGATGCACTTTTATGCTGGATAGATGAACTTCTATCATGTATGGCTGCTCTTTTATGATGGATAGATGCACTTTTATGATGTATAGATCCACTCTTTTTAATATAACTCTGATAGTATCCGTCTGAAAGAAGAATGTCGTATACACTTGGATGACTTGAGGGAGAGTAAATCATGGGCTAATTTTCATTTTTGGTTGAACTGTCCCTTTAAAATGTTTACAGATTTATCTAAAATTGTGAACCTTTAGCGCTGTAGCTTTTGACCCGCGCCTCAAGACTCACTCGTGGGTGTTTTGACAGGCTAATTGTGCCGCATGTGATGTACGGCAGGATTTGACTCTGGATTTTCAACAGTAGTTTTCTCGGAGCTGTACGGCGTTCCAGGTGACCTGGGAAGTAGATGTCATGACCCTTCTTTCTGTTGATCCCAAAACGAACATCTTTATCAAAATAACCCCGCCGTAAGAGCGTGGGAAGACACAGCGAGTACATTCATCACTTTAACGATTAATTTCCTTGTCCTGTCCTTCCCCGGATCTATTAATATCATTCCTGAGGTGTAAGTATGCGTTTCCCGTCGATGAGATTTATTCCGATATCATGCCTTCCATTACTCATCCCGCAGCACCTGCGATTTAGGAGTCAAATCAAATCCAATATTTTTTTAATCAGAATATGAAAATCTTAACTTGATCAAGCCATCTTCTAGTATTACTTTCCTCGTTTCTCACAGGGAAGAGTCGTGAGGGCTCGTACGTGGAGAATTAATTTCAGATGTTTTTGCGGTAATTGTTAGAGAATGAAAAATTAAAACTGCCAGCAAGGTGTCGGTAAACATTAATCAGATCGTCTGGCTTTTTGTGCCAGGTAATTTGCCTTAATATTTAAATGTTCTTTAATAACTCTGATTATTAAAGGATTGTGTCGGTTTCTCCGCTGGCGGATTGTGGAGTGCTTGTAAAATGCCTCTACTTTTATTAAAACACACCGACGACAGATTTGAAGCTGTCGGGCCTGAGGACTTATCTGCCGTCGAGAGGAGGGCTTTGTTCAATCACATATCGCCACTGCTTTAAAACACTTTAGATTCCCCTGTAATCCATTGGCATCCTGTAATTAATCAACTAATTCCAAGTCTCAGGATGGCTGTAATTACGGCACCTCGTAATAGCTTATTCTTTCTGCTCCAGCACCTACATTTCATTTGTTTATTTTCTCACACTCATAAATCTGGGGGAGTGTCAAGAGTGCCACAATATTAGTGCAATAATCAAAGTTAATTATCAGAGGCGCTCGCACCGCCCCCCCTCCTGCTAATAATGGAGACTATCAGAGAGATCGGCTGCGAGCGCAGAGCCACGGGCTAAACCCTGCCACGCCACATCAAGACCAGAGGAATATTCATTAGGAATTACACCGTACGAGAGAGAGAGAGAGGGTTGAAAGCTAGAGGATCTTTACGTTTGCTTTTAGATGTCTTCGATAAGAATAGCAATTTTTTAACTGAAATAAAAGAAGTTTTAGATATAAAGCCCAAAGTAACGCATTCAATTAATTCGTTATAAAGGGAAAATAATGTGTTAAAATTAATAATGCATTCAAGACCTCCGTAGTTCATCTTACATCATATATAATTGACTGGTGAGGAACATGAAGCAGAGCAAAAGCTCACTGTGTAATGAAGCCTGTATAATGCAGTTATAATGCCCCTAAAATTAAAGATATCAGAGCAGAAATGCCCTGTATGGGGTTTTGCCTCGTATTTAAATCGTATGATGTAGTTAAGCAATATCACACGACTGCTGTTTTTGTTCCGAGTGCAAGTGTGATATTGAGTTACAACAGTTCGATGAAAAAGAGTCCACGTTTTGAGCGAATCAATCGGGTGAAACAACGATTCAATGACTCATCATAAAGAGTGCCATTTACTTCATTCCTAAATGAATCAGCCGTTTGAACAAATCAATTGAATGAATCAGTGAATCAATGAATGAATGACTCAATGACTTACTCATTAAAGGAGTAGTTCACTTTAAAAAAAAACCTTTTCCTGATAATTTACTCATCCCCATGTCATCCAAGATATCCATGTCTTTCTTTCTTCAGTCGAAAAGGTTTTTCTTTCTTCAGCCGAGTCAATTTATGCATTATTCATTTTGTTCGTTGAATGAATAAAATGACTCGAAAAAAAGATTTGTTCATTTGGATGAACGAGTTCGAGCACAGAACAGAAGAGAGCAAGGCGAGCATTTGAGCTTATAAAACTTAAACTTTGTTATTTATTTATTAAATGAGTGATCGTTTCGCTTGATAAGACTGTTATTCATCGTCTGGAATCGTTTAAAGCCCTTTGAACAGTTTGCACTGAAACTCTCATTTGAACCTTGAACCGTTTGGTTCCCATTGAAGTCCATTATATGGAGAAAATCCTGGAATGTTTTCATCAAAAACCTTAATTTCTTTTTCGGCTGAAGAAAGAAAGACATGGACATCTTGGATGACATGGGGGCGAGTAAATTATCAGCAAAAGTTTTTTTTTTTTAAAGTGAACTACTCCCTAAGACATTAAACGCCACTTGCTTTCAGTTTTATTTCTTATTTGAGTATAATTTTTTTTTTTTTATTCTTACATTTCCATATTTATAAAAAAATCGCGTTGGCGAAAGTACAGAACTAGTGTTTACAAAGCGAACGTGCAAATATTTAGCTATTTACAAAAAATAAGTTAAATACAAGGTAAAACAACAATGCCGATTTTGAAGTTGGAGGAGAAACTGAGGAGTTTATCGCCCTATCCTACTTTATAAACCGGAACATGCGTGACCTTTCAGCGTGATTACGTAATGTGTGTCGCATCAGCATTAGTGGTTATAAAGTATATAAATGTGTATTTTGTTCTTAATGTCGGCTGGTTTGTCTAGATCAGACTCGTGTCGAGACTTTGAAGCTGCGCTGAAACTCACATCTGGACCTTCGACCCGTTGGACCATTAAAGTCACTATATGGAGAAACCCTGGAGTGTGTTCCTTAAAAAACATTCATTTCTCTTCGACTGAAGAAAGAAAGACTTGGATGACGTGCAGGAGAGTAAATTATCAGGAAATTTTAATTTCGAAGTGAACTACTCGTTCAACAAAAGGCGACATTAGTTGGCGCCAGTGTTGTAGTACTCGAGACTCGGACTCGTCTCGGACTCGGTCTCGAGACCATATTTTAATGGTCTTGGTCTTGTCATGGACTCGTGTGCATTTGGACTCGGAATTGACTCGTACTCGAACATTTTTTTTTAGGACTCAGACTTATTCCCGAGTCCACTCGAGTTCAATTCAAAATATTTTTCATGATTATTAATGTATGTTAATAAAATATTTCTTTAAATTGATTGACACGCCCAGTGATTGGTGATTTTCTAGTGCGAAACTGCGCATGACAAATTGTAATAAAATTACTTTTAACACCACCTAATATGCGGCCTTTTTACCCTAAACTGATCATATTTTTTAAACTCTAAGTAAATTCGGTAAAAAAAAAAAAAAAAAAAGATTTCTCTAAGTAAATAAAAGTAAATTAGGTAATCAACCCTCACTGGTCTCGGTCTCGACTCGGACTCGACTCTGACTCGACCATCTCTGGTCTTGGACTCGACTCTCTATGGACTCGGACTCGACTCTGACTCGAGTGAGGTGGTCTCGACTACAACACTGGTTGGCGCTAATGTCTGCAATAGCATCAAACTGGGTGGAAAATAACATTTTCCACAATAACAATACTCTGTTAAAAAGTACAGATCCTCGAAAAATTGACTTGGGTATAGTAACAAAGTAAAAAATACTTGGTAAGTGTCCACCACCGACAAGCAGCACTATTTGAAAGACTTAATGCCAATGAACAACAATTCAGATTTCATTTCTTTAGTACCACTGTATTAGAGTTTGGATGCATTAGAAGGCCGATGACTATGTAGAAACAGCACTAATGAATCAAATCTCCACCTAATCATGTGACTCAGGAGAAGCCAGCTACACAAAACGTGATTTATGAAATCTAAAGGTCACACAGAATGACGTAGCACTGCAGTAGTCAAGAGTGTGTGTGCGGTGTTCTTACTCACCCATTCCTCCGTGATCAGTCTTGCTGCTTTAATGGCACGACTTTGGTTTCGGCAAGCTAAGATCACATGGGCGCCGTGAAGAGCGAAGGATCGGGCGGTCTCGAAACCTGCAGATAGGGCGTGGGTGGGTGGAAAGGGGATTGTGGGAGAAGAGAAATGACACGATTGAGATAAGTCACTTGACTGATAACTTGCTGTTATTTGCGGCGGATGAACCCGAGCAGAGGGTGGACGGGATCCCATATCTCGGATTCGTTCTCCATCAGACAGAAAGCCAAAGGCTCTTTTTTTAAGATACTCAATCAAGACCCTTTTAAGTGATGAAAACGATTAAGTCAAAGCAGAGAAACTCCAATAGCTTTGGTAATGATAATGAAATGAAACCGGACCCAGGACAAGACCTTGAGGCACCTCAATGACAGAACGTCTATCGCAAGCACATTTACACGGCAAAAAATAATCTGTGTTTTCCCACTATCTAAATATCTTTAAAAAGATACATTACTTGCAAATAAAATCGTGAAACAATGACTTTTTATCAGAAAATTTCTTTCTGAATTAAGTTTAGTTTTCTTACTTTATTAGCAAGTCATTCTTTTGTTTCTATGCATAAGCCTCACCAATTTGTTTTACGTTTTAAACGAGAAACAATAGGGTTAAGAAAACAAAACTTTACCAAAAGACAAGTATAATAATGGATCACTAATTAAGAAAGCAGATTTTTTGCGAGACTAAATAAAATCCATAATGTGGATTTCTTCGTACCCCTGATCCTAAAGCACTTCAAAGCCAGAGTGATAAGAGGCTCTATCATACTTTAGAAATGACTCCTCATATCAGTTTCTCGAATTAATTTTCAAAAATCGCCACTCTAAATGGGTCAGTCAAACCCAAAAGGTGGAAACAATGATCTAAATATACTCCGTATGGGAAGGCAGAAACACAAAACATTTGCTTGACTGAAAAGGGTTATATTTAGGGGGGACTTGGGGTATTGTTTTGGCTGGTTTTGCTGACCTGCCGTTTTGCATTGTGCGTTTGATTACACCAAGTGTGTTTAAAGTTGCTCTTAAGCTGGCATCAGCACTTTATTACCCGGAGTGGGCACCAGTCATAAAGGTACATGTGTCTCAGAATAGATACAGCGAGAAAAAGCCTCAAGTTCATAACAATGGCTCAGGTTTGCAAGTCCGACATTAATAATCGAGTTACAGAAGGAATATCGGATGGTTTTGCCATCATACGAAGGACACAAAGGTCAAACCTCTAAAATCTGAGCTCAGTGGCTTATTTTACCCCGTAATTCTCAGGCGCATGTGCATCGTTCTGTTGGCTCATTAAATCCTGGGTTTAATTACAGCGAAGGCATGCAGATCTGCTCTCTTCTGTTGTAATCTCCTATTACTGAAAGACAGAGCTAATTTGGCCTTTGTGGTTTTCCCTGGTGTGTGTGAGTGTGTTATCGGCCGGCAGGTGGACTGAACGCGCTGCCTCTCTCTGACTGTGAAATAACCCTTGGCCATTGGGCTTGTAAAACATATTACACTGTCATGGCTCAGAAAAGACCTGACAGGCCGACACGGCTCCGACAGAGAGGCATGACTCGTGAACCACTCCGGCGCAGGGAATCATGGGTATCAGTGGACATGATGAGCGCTGGCAGCTGTCACTGACTGTGAGTGGCACTCGCACGCATGTCCGACTTTTTCACCTTCACTTTTCCCACTGCCCCGTTCCTTACACAGGACTCATCTCACTATGGAAACCAAACCAATTTCTGTTACCTTAAATCATATGTTTATCTCTGTAAAGCTACTTTTTGAAACTTTTTTTATTAAAAGCGCTATATAAATGAGAATGACTTGAGTTGATTTTAACAGTTTTTTTATTTTTATAGACAGGAAAGGAGGGTGAACCTCCCAAAACCTGCATTTTTTTGCTTCTATTTTGCGCCAAAAGGAACTTAAGAAACAATAATTCTGCATAAAGACAACAAAGCATATTTTAGGACCATTGATGCACTGTAAAAAAAAAAAATGCTTTCTTTACATTTTTGCGTACAATCAACTTGAATGCTGAAAGTCATTTCAACTTAAAAAGAGTTGAATCTTGTACTTGAGTTGAAAATGTAAAATATATGTCTTTTTTTTTTTACGGTGATTTTTCCATCGTGACATTATTTATGACATTAACAAATAAACAAAACATATTGATGTAATAAAGGAACATTTTACATGAACGTGATATAATTATTATACGTCCCATGTTTTTTCAATAAATATTACTACAGGTATGATGCATTATTTATTTAGAGTGACTTCAGCATATTGTTTTGAGTTGCCTTGTCTTGTTAAATTTGATGTGCATGCTTTAAAATAAATAAATGTAAACATTTAATGTAATAAAGGAAAATTATTACGTTATTGTAACTAATAAATAATCATTTGAAAGGCAAGTACTGTAAAGTAATAACAGCAATGCCTTTAATTTATGCTTTTAATTATGCATTTGTGTAAAATCATACAAATCAAAAATGTTACTCTGTGTAAATCATAAAACTCTAGTAATATTCACTGTAATACAGAAAAAAATGAAATGACAACATAATAATTATCCCTGAAAAATATATATTTAAAAGTAGAAAAATAAGGAAGCTTTACAGTAATTTGGGGGTGGAAATGTGTTCAAACTTTTCATTGCAAAATATCTTAAATATCTAAAAATAGGCTTTATTTTCTTCACAGAAAATGTAATATATATATATATATATATATATTATTTGAAGCAGAATATGACCTGGAATGAGAGTGGGATCAGAAATCCACTCATACGAGTTTCCCAACACACACACACACACACACACGTAAAACCCTTGCCTGATAGCCTGGCCTTCCTCTATGCAAACGAAGCGGGTTTGACAGTGTGCCGGCGTGTTTCTGAGCCACAGACAGTCTGGGCGATAGCGCAGATTAAAATGAACTTTAATTAGATTATGTTTTAATCTGATTTTCATTAAAAGGTAACTAGGAGGCCTAATTGTGAGGAGAGAGCTAAGGAGTATTACCCATTAAAACTCAAAATTGGAGTAGGATAAGACCTCCTCTCTGACAAACCAAGCATGGAATTCAATTTTATGACACCTTATTAGGAGTAATGGAGAACGCGCGTGTGTGTGTGTGTGTGTGTGTGTCTGCACAAGGCTGTCCTTCCCGGGAAAAAGACACCAAAATAAAAACAAGAAACACTTTGCCTGCCAGTAGACCAACAAAACACACATTCACCAGCAAATCCATAACATGACACTTCTGCGGTGTGCTCTCGTCGCCTTATTAATGAAACAGTCTCGCATTAGCGTTGATCACAAGAGCAACTCACAGTCACCTTGTGGAAATCGTGGCGGTTGTTCGGCTTGAAGTGTGAATTAATCAACGCTGTTGTTTTTTGTAATGGAGAACAAATTAGAACATGTTTAACGACAACAGCGACCCGCCATGTATTATTTATGGAAAATAAGAGGGGCTTGACATTAATTTGGACATAATGACTCCGCTTGTTCGTCAAAGAGGCGGAGATGCGCACGAGTCCAGCTGAATTAGCAGGACATTTCAGTGAAAGAAAGAAAGATGGCCATTTTGAAATCATGTCTTAAACACAAGGTTAGTTAAATGACCACTGCGTTTCTTGATTTGATTTGATTTATTCAACAATGTTTACAAACAACATATATAATCATGCCAGAGGCGATTTATATACATTTAAATACAATTGTTGAGGATAAAATACACAATAATGCCTCTTGTTTCTATTGTGGTCCTCTACATGCATAAAATGAACAGTTCCAGTGGGAATAAAATCAAAACAAACAACTCACACCCTACAAATTCCTAAGGGATCTTAATTGGAAAGCCATTTTTTTTACTTCTCTTCTAAAGGGCCGTGCCGTTCGTAATTGCTTTAAATGATCTGGCAATCCATTCCAAGCAACTGCACTCGAGTACAAAAACTAATTCTTCCCAAATTTTAAATCGGTACAAATATATATTATTTATCCTTGCCCTTGTAGAAATACAGTGAACATCTTTCACACAACATAGTAGTCATGCAATTATTTAGGAAAAGTCCTCTGAATTATTTTATACACCATCTTAATTTTAATAAAAATTACTCTTTTATCCACTTTTAAAATTCCCAATTCCTTGAAATGGTTATCATTTAGTTGCATACGAGGATGTAATCCCAAAATAATTCTACACAACCTGTTCTGAGCAGTCTGTAATTTATTTTTGACATGTTTTTTAGAGCCACTATACCAAAAAGTTACTGCATAGTTCTGTGCTGTTTGCTCAGGCATCTGAACAATCACCCCTCACCTCATCGCTGTGTAAAGCGATGTGAGGACGCTGTGCCGACGGGACGTCCCAGAGATGGCCTGCGGGTCACTGGATGGGTTTACGCTTCGGTGTGTAACGCGCTGTGAGGACTAGGGTTGGGAATCGTGAGAAATTTTCCGGTTCCGGTTCCGATTCCGGTTCCGCCAAACGATTCCGGTTCCGGTTCCGGTTCCCATTCAATTAAAAATATTAGTAAGAGAAAAATCCACAATCCTTTTTGTGTTTATTTCTTATAGTACTTGACAAATTAGTTTAACAGACTGGTAATGTAAACAAACTCAAAATATTATTAAGCAATCTTTGCAAAAAAAATTTGTATATATATAAAGGAAATAAAAAAATTCTGCATTCTCTATAATAATTTAGACCACTCCTTTATTGTATCTCCAACAGTGAAGAATACCCTCTCAGAAGGGGTAGAATATGCTTTAACACACATATGTGTGTAGAACAGATTATTTTTTAAAACGGTTTGAATGATTGATTCATTAAGACTTTACTTATTTCATTACTGGATAAATCGGCGCTCTAGCAGTTAATAAACAGAACTGCATGCGTCTTGCGGAAGAACATTGTTGCCGGAGCTACTTCTCTCTGTTTATGTCCATGACGAGTCACGCAGGCATTGGGCTACTCCGCAGCAGCTGCGATCCGCCGGCCAGTCTAACGCAGTATTAACGCTTATTACAGGCTTTACGTAGTGATTCAAGATAAGA